AACTTGAATAGGAGCAGGCTTGCACGGGAATTGATATACCAGTATGCCTCCGAAGCGGGAGTACACGTTGTATTCATATCGAAGTCTTATAGACAGCAGACATACTAGTACAACGACGACGAGGGCGATGCGTCGTTGTGGATGACTCTCTTCGAAGGGAAACAACCAGACGAGACCACCTTGGCCGCTTGAGATGGAATCGCAGGAGTCAGCGTGGATAGCGTGTTTTACATTGGGAGTTATTGCTCCCCCAATGTGAATATGAAACAGTTTAACAACTACGTCCAGAAGTTGGACACTCTGATTCAGGTGACCAAAAGGAGTTACTCAGTAACGATGATCGCCGGGGATTTTAACTCAAAGGCCACCGCATGGGAAAGCCATGTAAATGGCCGCAGGGGAATCAGCCTCCTGAACGTGTTCGCAAAGAATGGGATCGTTCCGATCAGTATGAACGAAGATCATCATTCTGTAGGAACGGAAGGAAAAGTTTCCTCGACATTATTAGCACGAACAAGGGATTGGCTAAAAAGTATGCAGGTAAGAAGTTGTCGAAGGTCTGGTCGGCATCAGACCATAGATACGTCCTGCATAATTTTAGGATTAAAAAGACAAGACGTAACGCCGAGAATTTCAAGTATTCGACGAGGGACGCCGATATGGACAAATTTGTTTTAACTTTTGACAATAATTATGAGAAATTATTTATTGATAATACGGACGACGAAGAATGTTTAGACTATTCTGGAAACGACGTATGCCTCCGCACTTAAAAAAATGTACTCACCAATGGGTAAGAAGAGATATAACTATTGGTGGAACGATGAAATAAGCAAGTTAAGGAAGGAGATGATGAAGAGCAGAAGAAAAGCTCAGAGTGCTAGGACTAAGGGCATGAACGACGCGACTCATTTGAGCGAACTTTACAAAGATAGTAAGAGGGAACTTGCGAGGGCGATCAAAGCGAATAAGGAAAGATGCTGGAGAGAGTTAAGTGTGACGCTGGATACGAACCCTTGGAGCAGGTCCTATAGGGCGACCATGTCTAGGATGGCCCGCAGAGTCCAGACGGATGGCCTCCAATTGGATGGGGTCCGATCTATAGTTGACGAGCTCTTCCTGACGAGGCCAACGCAGAGAAAGCAAGGTACATTGAGGAATACAACGGAGAAGAGCGAGGAGATGTCGACTGCAGGATCTCACAGGATGCCAGAGGAAGACCTGATGGATGCCTATAGGAGGATAAACCTGAACAAGGCGGCTGATGTAGACGGTATACCAGGAATGGCGGTCAAAGCATTGGTGGAGAGGAGAGCAGAAAAAGTGCTGAGAGTGTTGAATGCCGTGAACGACACGGGCAAGATTCCGACGAAATGGAAGATAGTGAGGGTGATGCTCATACCTCAACCGGGCAAAGATTCCACGTTAATATCGTCTTTCCGACCGACCAGCGTGCTTCTAGCACGTTGTAAAGTCTGGGAGCACACGTTTAAGAACCTCATCAAGGAAATCCTGGGACTGGACCCATTTGGTCAGTATGAGTTAAGGAGAAGAGTGAGTACGGTGAAGCCCTGTGCCGAGTAATGGATCTTGCTGACTGATCCAAGAGAAGAAATAGGATTTGTATGTTGGCAACGGTTGACGCGAAGAACACGTTTAACACTCTCAGTCGGAATAAAATTTTGGAGAAAGCAGAATCTATAGGGATGCCCAGAAAATTGGTGATACTCCTAAAAATTATCTCGAGATGTTATTGTGCGGTGATGTGCCGATAAAGGATTGAAGATCGCACGGGAGAAGACCGTTGGTGATACTGCTGACAGGCAAGCGAATCCCCAAGGTAATTAAGATGAACGTGGAGGGGCACCTTCTGACCACGAAACAGGAGATTAGATACCTTGGGGTGCAGAAAGTTCGGGGCTCATTTGAAGAAAATGCGTGGTAAGGCCGATGCTCTTATGGGAGCATTGAGATCGTTGCTGTCCAATATTAACGGTCCCACCGTCTCTGCGAGGAAACTCTATTATGGAGACTGGGAGTCGGTGGTGCTCTATGCGGCGCATGTATGGGCAAAGACAGTAAATAAGAAAAAGAATAGGGATACTCCTAAGAGGGCGTAAATGGCCGTGCTGATAAGATCATCTACGGTGTACCGCACAGTGTCCCACGCAGCACTGTGCGTGTTTACGGGTACCTTACCCATTTACTACACAATCGAGCTCCGGGCCGAGAAATATCGAATTAGAAAAGAATAGCTGCAGTCACGTTCAAGAGAAGATACGACCTCAGTTTTTTATGAAAGGATCAAGGCAATGGAGGAGCGTATGGAGGATCAGTGGAAGGAAGGGTGGCGTGACTATCGCAACGACAATTGGACGAAGAGGCTGGTGGCGAACATCTGCACGTTCAGGAGTCATGGGAGGTACATTAACCACTTTACTATGCAGATCCTGACCGGACACGGTATTTTTAACGTGTACCGAAGGATGATCAGGAAGGAAGTACACGCCCACTGCTGTGACTGCGATAGTAGAATAAGTCACGTAGAAAATTGGTATTATATTATATACTATATTATATCTGATATATACATTATTGACTGCTTAGAATATCTCTGTGCATCAATAGTGTTCTGTACATTTATTTTCTCGGATATATTGTAAGAATACTTATAAATGCCAATATCAATTTTGTTTACAAAGAAATGGAATAAAAAATGAAGGTTCCAATGTGAGATATAATGCCATATGATCCTCCGATACTTCATTCATAAGTGGTGCTGGTAGTAATATCATGTGATGGTGTGAATATCCTGAAAGAAAAGAGTTATAAATCGTTTCGGTAAATAAACTTGACGATTTATCAAGGTAATTCCAGTTGCCGTACCTGTAAGACCGAGTTCTTTACCGTCAGAGGTCTGTGCAAAACCAATTGTCATTTACTTTCTATTATTATCTTTTTATTTGTCGGAGACGGATCAGGAATAAGGTTGCGGGCGTTTGATGAATCTTCATTGGAATCAGCCATCGTCGGGTTATAACGAAGGTACGGTCGGTTAATACGAGTATGGATGCTACCGATTCGACAATCAACCGCGGCGGTTGGACACTCGCGATACTAGTGATGTTGGTCTTAGGTTCAATAACGAATCCGCGGTCAACGGGATGATAGATGTACGTGTTCACAAAAATCTAAGTCGGACCCTTTGCGAAAACGTGGAATATCCACCGAGCGTACAGACTCTAAGTAACTCGCTAATACGGGACTCTTTGCGAAAACGTGGAATATCCACCGAGCGTACAGACTCTAAGTAACTCGCTAATACGACCTCACGAGAGAATGACTCTCCGTCGCGATGATGTTGCAGAGGAAAGCTATGGTGGGCTGTGTCTGAGGACACGAGATCATCGGATTCATTGAGGATAGCCTTCGTTCAGCAGGTGAGGGAATTTGGCGTTGCTGCTAATTGGTCAATCTCCATATCGGTGGTTAGAAAAAGATGCTAGCCGTCCTCGAGGGAAAGTTGTTAGTTCGTTGAAAAATAGGTCTCTCCTATCTTCCCGTAGCTGGGACAAAGACTGTTTGTTTGAAGGACTTTAGTCAACTAAATTCTAAGATTTATGACAGGCCCTCAGGCTAGCTGAACATATACTCCGGAGACGCATCGACATCTGGCAATCATCTTGCTCGAAGAATAGGGTCTGCGTGTGGCGAGCCACGGGACAGAAACCGTTGGAATGTTTACTGTCGAGTGTTACAACTATTT